TAATCAAGGCACAAAAATCCTTCGAGAATTACAATCGCAATTAAACGAATTGTCAACTCTTATTTTCCTCATCAATTTTATTATGATAAATCTCATATGAAAAGACTTATATCTCAAAATAAAAATTTATAATTGCTTCTAATAAAATTATTCAAATTTTAATCAATTTTTATAATTTTTTTATATTAAATAAAAAATAATTTAGATTAACTTTTCATATTATTTTAATTATTCTATTATACTTTAATTTAATAATAAAAGTAATACTTTTAAAAAAAAATTAATTTTATTTTAATTTTTTTTAGAAAAAATATTTTAAATATCATTATTATTAATTTATAATATTAAAACTTTAATTTACTCAAGCAGATTTGATAAATATATGTTCTAAATTTTATAAAAATTGAATCAGTAGTTATAAAGGAAAATAAGATTCAAAGTTTAGTAATTGAATTATTTATCATATAATTTTTTATTAATTTTAATCAAATTTTATATAGTAGAATTTAAGAAATAAGAATGTAAAAAGTTGGTATTAAAAATTTTTACATTTAAATAAATTCTAACACCTAATAACTTATTTAAATGAGACAGAATTAAAATTTTAGTTTGAAAAAATAATTTTTTAATATTTATTTGAGATATGAATATTTTTGCACTGGACTATTATGTAAACTAAGATCAGTAAAAAAGATAAAGATAAGGCTAAAGTAATCTAATTTTATTTTATTATTAATTTGAGTTAACTTCAACGTCAAATTGCATTTGCACATGATTGCTGATTACTAATTTACACAACTATATTGATATTAAAATTTAAATGATATAAAAAAATTTCCTTAAAAAGGTTTATCTGCGGCTTGTTCTTGTTTTATATCTGATTGAGAAACTTGCAAAATAGAATCTTGTTGGTATGTTAATCTCCTTCTTTTCGAATTTTTAAGCAGTTACTTGAATTTCGTTACTGAAAGACATATTTTAGACTGTTGAGTAGTATCGGTCATGTTTTGATGGATTTTTTAGTCTCACTTATTGAGGATCATATTCAAGTTCAGAGTTAAACTAGCATAAAAATTGATGATAAAATTTATAATGAAATAAGATAAAAACTTTTTTCTTTAAAGTGACAGTTTTAAATTTTTTAACAAACACAGATTTACTTCTATGTATCGTTAACAAAGCTCTTCCTAACATAACATTTAAAAAAATCTAACTAATTAAATATTTTACATCGTAATTCCCTTTTGTTACAGTACATTAAATGTTTTCTTCAAAATTTGCTAAAAAAGGTTAATATATGAAATGAACAATTTTTGAATACTAATCTTGGACTAGTAAAAACACACAATCAATTTATGCATAAATCTGTACTATTAATTTTTACTATGATACCTGACATAGTTTTGATTAATTATCATATGACGCACCCCAGCGTTTCATGTATAACTTAATAGATTCAGCCCAGACCGGTACATAAAAAGTACATGTACATACATGTAGATATATACTGCATAATGAAAGAATTGTATAGTAATACAGATTTCTTTGAAGTATATTTTATGCAGATTTCTATGGATAGATACATTTATATTTATATGTACTGTACATGTTAAGGGACAAAAGTTTATGCAATATTTATTGCATGTTTAATCCTTAGCGTTCATACTGTAAGTACATGTACATACAATTCGTACTTATTGATGCTTATACGAGTAAATTAAAATTGCTTTAAAAAAGAACATTGCATTATTCCACAAAACGAATGTTCTTGAAAGAAATATATGTACCTTCTTTAACACAGTATAAGTACATGTGCATCAATTATGCGAAAGCAATAACGAGTTCAGAGACGTTCATAGTTCTAAGGAACTCTCACAATAGAAATTTTTAAATTATATAATTCAGAATTGAGTCTCAACACTTTTGGACTCGATGCCAGAGGCTTTTCAAATGTCGTTATATTCTAGATTCCTTTGAATGGGTGCTGGTATTTGAGGCGAGTAATTTCTCATTTGAGTTGAGATAGTTGTAGAATTGATGAGGAAAATAAGAGTTGACAATTCGTTTAATTGCGATTGTAATTCTCGAAGGATTTTTGTGCCTTGATTA